GCTTACTTCACTCATCTCAGTGCACTGCTTTCAGAAGAATACCCTTTTTATTAACAGAGATTTTATTTGGTTAACTTTAATCTATCAAGATTTTCCGCATTCACTAAAAATGGTTCTTCCGTTGGTCGCTGTTGCGAGGTTTGTTCATTAGCTTAACGGACTAAATTGATCCGCTTCTTTCTAATAAACATGAAAGACATTCTTTTGATTAGAAGCTCGCTACCAGGTACAATCACTTTAATCCGTTTGTATAAAAAGTAGGTTGGTAGGCCTGATTGTGTACAAGACTACTGCCAGTAATGAGTAAAACTGCAATAGCGAACAAAGGTTGTGGGATGCATCTAGTATCTAAGCCATAAGCAAAAGCAACTAATGTGAATGAGCAAACTGACCGACCTATTTGGCACTAAGCATAATTAAGTAACGCTGCCTAACTGCGTTGCAGTCGCGGAAGATACGCCATGAGGAAGTAGTAATGGACTTTCGCAGAACTCCGTTTTGCTGTAAATATTGAAATGTCGTGGTATGTTGGATATGTTGCGCGAAAGATGCCGTGCCCGACTATCACGGAAGGGATGGATTCAGTTATTACCATGTTCCCATGCGAATACCACATGCATTGCATTGTTCCACTAGTCGTGGCGGTGATTGACTGCGTGTCGATTTTTCTGCACGGCAAGAGCAGGTTTACTTTGTTATACTAATAAATGCGATTTGCAGCAAATGAATATCGCGCCGCCTGCTAGGACGTGCGGACTGAATGGCGATGAAAAGCTGAACGACATTACATGAGCTGCAGCGCGGTACAAGCCCGATATACTCAGGTTATCAGAAACCCACATGCCTGATCACGATGAGGAGCAATGACTTGCGAGAGAGAGAGAGAGAGAGAGAGAGAGGCAGTTTCCTGGACTGGCAATGAAGACAGCCGTCGCTGAACGCAGCAGCGTCGCTTATTGTCCAGTACACGAGCAACCGACTTCGAGTCTGCAAGTTTTCAATTAGACATGCCAGACTGAACATGGTCGTCGTGTACGCATGTGGCAGAGGGAGGGCCAATTTTATAACTGTTTGCATCATTTCCGCATTTTACTGCCGCATTACGACTTATCCAACGACGTCGGTGACCTCAACGCCCAGGTCGGAGCCGATTATTCAAACTGGGCTTGAGTAATAGGTTGTCATGGCAGAGGAGAAGATAATGACAATAACCTCTGCCTATTAGACCTTTATGCATCACATGCGATGTTTATCGGCGGATGGCAAATTTTCTACAAATTAATGCATCAGCGAAAGTGTAAAGTATCCGGCAGGAACTTCAAAAGCCAGATCATCGTGAGCAATAACTGATGAAGTTCGCTTCAAGACATTTGATCCAAGTAGGAAGTTGACCACCAACTGGCACCATGTAGAAAAAAGAGGAGGTATGAAGAAACAAAACACCACTTCGACCTAGGTAACTTGAAAGATTCGATAACGTGTGAGGCTTTCCAGGCAAAAATTGACATCAGATTCGCTACAGTAATTGACTAGAATCAGTATTAAGAATCACTCAAGCTGCTTTATAAACAGTTGAAGATGAACCCCGAGAGAGCAGCCAAGGCTAACGGCTTTTGCGAGAAGAAGTGAAGGAAGCTTAAGTTCCTTTTAGAAACTCCGGATCTTCGCCCAAAACTGAACGCATCAAGCAGGCGATGTTTCAAAAACGGATATTGTTAAACAATGACTACATCGACACTTTGTCAAGATAATGAATAAGAGCTCATGTAATGGCTGAAAAGTTGAGCAGCTATCGCTCATTGTGGAAGCAACTCGACTTCTAGCCATTACAACATCTATTAACATAATAATCTCGACTGCTGACCAGCGTGACTATGGTAACCTCAGCTAGCACATCGTCTGTCCTTAAAACATTAACCTGTATGTGTCTGGAAAGATGTGTTGACTAAATTCCTTCTCTACGTTTTGAACTCGCTTTTTCTGGAATGAACAATTGCTTATCTTATTTATCTACTTTCACAATCCGCAGATTCTCTAGGGTACCGGAGAAAGCATTAATACGAAGCTTTTTGTCAGTTGTGTGGCTCTGCGACGTGAGTCGTTCTTTTCAGTTTCTTTGCTTTCAATCTGATCACATGTCCAGACTACTGCAGCTGTTATACCAAAATCCGGAGATACAGCAGCGTAAGAATGAGGGTATCTCAGATAGCGATGTTCAGAATCATGTGGTGCCTCGTTACATTGGTAAGCTTCCAGGGAAACTTTGTTTCTGACACTTGCATGCACGCATTCACAGTTACGATCAGTATGCGGCAGAACTGCCATGTCCATAAGCGGAAGTATTTTTATATACAGAGTTTACGATAGGCATCTTCGCACTAATATTGAGTTCTCTTCACAATTGGAGACTTGTACAGATCCTGCGTTACTGTTCTTGGTTGTCCAATCCATGTTTGTTTCCATCACTAGGTTATGGAATGCAGCCTAGATATATTTATTTCTTGCTGCTTGCCTCATTTGCGCTACACTAATCGCCAGCGCGCTTTGAGTGCGCAATTTTAAGGTTTCCAAATCATAAAGTTATGCCAGGCTGATCTTCATCCCGGCCTTATCAGTATCGAATGATCAAGCGTGCGTGGACACCAACATGAAACGAAGCGAACATCACGAGATGCAATTAAGTGACTCCGGCGATTATCCGCCAGTGTTGCATTATCTGTGCTTAGGCGCTTCGGTCACATCTGATGTGCCACTTCAACAGATTATAAACATGAATAGAGACTGTACGATACATGAAGCAGACAGGCAGTTTGAAGGGAATAGACTTCAGGATGCAGATCTCTGAAGCGGTAGAAAGAAATGATAGTCCCCAATAGTTGACTATCCAGGTCATATTTCTACAACACTGTAATAGTTTGTGACCTTGGATTGGAGTAAGTGTCATAAACTTTCAAGCTGTGAATCATTCCCTGGCAGAGGGAATGATTGTCTGCACGATGCTGTGGCCGGACGGAAGCTATATTGATCCTCCCGTCTTCTGTTTTACGATTTATCGGTACTTTTCCAGGCACCCTGCATAGACTTTACAGGAGAAGCTGACCAGTTATGTCTCCATGGTTTCTGCAGTTTTTCTGATTCTCTTTCTTTCGACACGGGGATAATGAGCCTAGTCTATCCCTGCTCCTGTGCCCTTCAAGCACCCCCTTGCAACCTGACATACATGAATCAAGCAGAGATTATCAGCCATAAGTTCTTTAAGATCTATTATCATACGCTGAATCTGCATAAACTGGGTTAAAGCGATTTACAGTGCATCCTCCTCCCGTATTCCAGAAGTCTACTTCGACAAAAGCACTGGAGCAGAATGAATTTGACTTTCATCCGCACTTCGTTCTGACTTTTGCCACGTCATTTACGTGATTCGCTCGATATATCCGGTCAATGAGTCACGGTTGTAACTGTCGTGGTTGACAGGTTGCGTCATTTAAGCTCTATTTCTCGACGTATCCTAGAATTATGCAGTGCTCGATGATCGACCGAGAAGATAAAATCAAAGAGTTCTTGGACCTGTCCTTGGCGGAGGCGGAGAAGGGCGTAAACGCTGGGGACGGCGGTCCTTTCGGGGCCGTAGTGGTAAAGGACGGCAAGGTGGTGGCGAGTGGTCACAACGAAGTTTTGAAGACGAACGACCCGACGGCGCACGCTGAGGTGACGGCGATTCGCCGCGCGTGCGCGGCTTTGAACTCGTTCGACCTCAAAGCTTGCGAACTGTACTCCAGCTGCTATCCGTGTCCGATGTGCCTTGGCGCGGTCCTCTGGTCTCGCTTGAAACGCGTCTACTACTGCAGTTCGCCCGATGACGCCGCCAAGGCCGGATTCGACGACAGCGCGTTTTATGAACAGGTTAATGTTCACAACAAGCGCTGTATCCATGTGCCGGTTGAAAACGCTCATCGCGTCATACAGCTCTGGAACAAGAAGGCTGGCAAAGTTCCTTACTGAAACTAATCACGACTGGTCGCCTTTGTTTGATTTGCTAGAATAAACTTTTTACTAGTCTTTGATGGCGTGTTTCTCGAACACCACGTCGGTGGCAAACGGCCTCAAATGTGGTGCAGTAAATTACGGCCAGTTAATGAACCTCACACGACGAACCTACAACCTCGAGACGACGAGGGCACATGGTAAGGCGCTGCAAAGCGACAACTTCACTGTTAATGTATGCGTGCTGCTTCATGCCTCCTCTCCAATTCTATGTCCCCGTCGTTCCATCACTTTCTCTCTGCACATGCAACTTGTCACTCTTGACTTGAAAGAATGCGGTAATGTCGACAACAAGATTTTTCAGCCGTAGTCGTTCAGCCAACCTCGGAAGTATAGCATGCAATAGTTATGCCATACTGACAGCGAATCTGTACGCAGCCGGTGACTGATGATTCACATGCATACAAAGTGCCTTTCTAACTGTGAAGATCCGATGTCGGTTACCCTTTCTGATGGTGTTGGCCGGTAATCTGTGTGCTTATATATTATTTACGTCCGTTGATTTTGTCCAAAATGTTTTCAAATTTTAACGCATCGCTTAGGCTGAATATGCTGTTTCTCCAGCAGATCTGATGTGGACTATTCTGAGCAACTCTAAAAGTAGAATAGGAGCCACGAGCTAACAAGAAATGCCAATAACAAGGGAAAGTGACGGTAGAACCGGAAATGGTTGATCGCCAATTTCTGGTGTGCGTTTGTTGTCTGTTTGAATCTCCGTACATTCGTATGCTTAGGAATGACCTTAGTCGACATTACTGGTTTAGGACCAGCATAAACAGGCGGTGCACAAAACATCCACAGACAGAAGGCATATTGCTTAGTTTGGAAAAAAACTGGTATCTCTTGTCTCAGTAAAATACAAGCAGACCTCACAGATTTTACAAACATGAGCCCCACATGATCCGACCAGACTACAGTTTCGTTGTCGAGAACTCAGCGTATTTTTCTGAGTTAGTATATTCAACTAATGTAATATCTACAGAATTTAGCAGTGCCATTAACCTTCCTAACTTTGTATATTGTTTGAGAAAACCCCGTTCAACTTATTGTTCAGGGATGATGATGTGTGAAACATTTTGAAGTAACTACTTGACTACTTATTCGATTGTAACAATGTCTCCAATTTACTAGATACTGAAAACTGGGCAAAGGAATTGTGGAAGACTGCTAAATTAAGACCATATCTGCATACGTATTCTTTAAAGCGTAAAATTAAAGCACACAGTTATCCTTGATCTATTTGATAGCTGATTATAATCAGCACAAGGTATAAACTGATTAAAATTCAATTTAATGGGGTTGTAATTCACCTCACTGAGTAAGCTGTCTTCGGTATCGATTAAGTTAAATTGCCACGGAAACAACACTAAACTTTATAAGAAGTCTAGAATATTTGCCATCTACTTTCCAGAATACCGCAAACAAATTGTGACGATCTGTGAGATAACTAATAACTCAGTAACTAGAGTAGGCAAGTACAGACAGAACCTGACTTACGTAAAAGTTAAGTTCTGCAAACCTTTAAGTAACAGGCATTTTACGTAATTCGCATTGAACCCACTCCCTAATCACACCCTATTTCTAACGTGTTTGTAACACATGTATATAGTAGTATATTAACGGGTTTTAAAAGTTAATTCTGTTAGGCTCATTGACAAGATGCGCATATACATGATATCTCAGTACATAAACATTAATGCACAGTACTATACTACAATATATGTAGTATGAAGAAACCTTTACGTAATGGCAGGGCTTCCGTGCCTCAATGACCCTCGAAGCTACGCCAGCGGAAACCAGCTTCTGGTAGGACTACCCAGGTTTGATGTCAGACTAAGCGCAATCAACCACTATGGTGTATCTATTGTATATCTATATCTGTATCCATATACTCTTTATGCTCCAGCTCAATGAAAATGTCCCTCTACCAGATCGGTCAGCGTCTGAATTGCAAAGGGCTGACAAGGCTTTTGGGGTACCGAGGCAGTCTGATAAACGGGCAACAGAATTTGTTTAGCATCTTTCTATGCATCGGATCGTGGCAGAGTGGCGAAAGGTGTGCAAGCAATGGTCGAAAGAAGAAATCAATGTTACAATAAGGTGCTGTTACATCGCTGTAAGGCGGAGCAGTGGTTATCGAAAGGGAATGGAGGAAGGTCTACCCGTCAGCGATACAAGTGAGTATCATCGTGCTGACCACAAACGACTCACTGAGAAAAAGTGACTGCTAACAGAATTGAAGCTGGATGAAATTGTGAGAGAAGTCATTTTGCCTGATGAGGGTTCAATTGATACCTCGCTCCTTTTGCGACATTTTACACCGTGTTTATGAATAAAACGTTTCTCCTCTAGGAATAAAACTGCTAATCGATTTTCAGTATTATACTTCATTATCCAATGCTGGTTGAATAAGTTCTGCCTGAGCAAGTACTATCGAAAGGGCGGCAGACCACGTTTTCTGAACGACGTGTACCAGAAGTTTCAGTTAAGCTGCTCATCTTTTCAGTCGTCGCTCAAGCCACGTAATTTTCGTCCCTCGAATATTTCGGGGTAGACCGACGACGCGGTCGTTGCCATCGGCTGCAAGCAACATGAATGTCAGCTGGCGCACTACTTGTTTGTTAAGTCACTGATCGTTTGACCGACACGATTATAAGTCGTGTGCTAAATCTGGTCCACATATTTTTACCATCTTAAATGAAGTTCACGAAACTCTATCTCCTGCTCTTCCCATCTGCTCTGTTGCTGTAATATAGTCACTTGAGCTGAGCAGCATAGACTAGGATGCGCACGTTAATAATGTTGCACAGTTCGACAAGGCGCTATTTGTTCGACCTATCTGAGTCAATTAACCGTAGCTTTGACCGCCTCTGTGTAAATTTGCGAAAGAACTCGTCTTGCGAAGGTCTCCTATGATACTCTAATATGAATCCAGACTATAGCAGTTAGGGCTTTTCGATCAATAAAGGAACTGCTCTCATGCGGAATCTCTCGTCTGCAATCTGCGAAGCTCGCAAATCTCTGTTAACAACAATTTTGCGAAGAAACCTCCATTCTGCTGCTTGTAACCGTCGTCAAACTCTTTCAGTCAGAATTCAGTAAGTCCAGTGCTCAACCACTGCAGATGGAAAGTACGTATACAGACCTGAAATGTATGTCTTGCACCCTAGACAAGTTTATCTCCCTCACCGCTATGTTCGTTTTACCGATTCGCGTTTATTTCCACGTCCCTCATGCTGTTAGTAGTGAATGCTAACCCGAGATACTTTTCCGCTGGTTTCAATTACATACTTATAGTTCTGACAGCATGAGTGACTTTCCCTGACAGACAAACGAAGACAGATCTTAATCCTGCCATAAGCGCATGTGGTTATGTACCTCTTACACTAACGGAAACCAGAGTGTGGAGGTAAACAGCATGAGGATAGCATATATTTTGAGGAATGTAACGAAACAAATGCTGTTTCTGTGTTTCTTTTTTCAGAGCAAAAGCCATCAGAGTCATTCTTTGGTAACAACAGAAACTTCAAATACGAGATATCTTTCTTAAATAGGAGGTCAGACACATCTCCGTTAATGGCGTTAACGCAGGTTCTCAGTCAGTGTGCAAAGGAAGAAGCATGGAAAGGAAAGGAAGAAGGATGCATATGCAAAGGAAGAACGATTCGCCGTTGACTTCAGGTATTTAGGTCATACAAAGTCGGTAGATAAGGAGACTACCTGGGTTTAAAATGGGTCATATGTTTGCAAGACGGGTCGTCGGTGACTAGGAACTTTCGAATCATGTTGAACCATT